TTTTTTGGTTGCAGCCGTCATTGTTGTTTTGGCAGGCCGGGCTGGATTCGAATCTGCCAGCTGAGGTGTACATGGCTGGCGCCTTAGCCACTTGAGCCTCCTGATGCATTTCAAAGTAGGCTGCAGACAGCTGCCTGCTGCGCTTTAATAAATAGAACCATTCGTTTGTGTCAGATGTTTACTGAGGGTCTGCTCTGTTCTGGGCGTCATTTTGTATGTATTGGAGGAGTCCCTACTTCAAGGAATCCCACAGAGGCTGCTTTTGAAAAGGTAATCGTCAAGGGAACCCTTCTTTCATAAAGTAAAAGCTTTCACTGACTTTGTTTATTTACTTTTGGAGACAGAGTCTTACTCTTTTGCCCTGGGTAGGGTGCTGTGGCATCATAGCTCACAGCAACCTCAAACTCCTGGGCTCAAGCAATCTTCTTGCCTCAGCCTCCTGAGTAGCTGAGACCACAGGCACCTGCCATAACATCTGGCTAGTTTTTCTGTTTTTAGTAGAGATGGAGTCTCATTCTTGCCTAGACTAGTCTCAAAGTCCTGAGCTCCAGCAATTCCCCCACCTCAGCCTCCCAGAGTGCTGGGATTACAGGCGTGAGCCGCTGTGCCTGGCCCCACTGACTTTATTTTTATGCACATTTTTCTTGCTGGGTTTACTTGGGTGGGGGTCCCGAAAGTACCAAAGAGATATGTGATAATCCTCATGCACTAAGGGTCAATTTTGGGAGGTTTCTGGAAAAAGAGAGCTTTGAGGTGGTTTTGAAGGTAAAACTGGCACAGCCCTCTCCTGCCCAGAGGCTTGTCTGCTATTCCCTTTGCCAGGAATATTCTCCCCATTTCTCTGTCCCCCATGCTGGTCCTTCCTTACCCTTCAGACCTCAGCTACCTTGAGCACCCAACCCAAACAACAGCCCATCCTTGTCGTGATCTCTCATGGCACCCAGATCTTTTCCTTCAATCTGCTCATGACAACCTGTGGTCATATTATGAATATTAAATTCATTTCCCTCCTAGACTAAGAGGTTCAAGAGGTGAGGTTGGAGCCAGGCACAAAGGGGAGCCGCTGGCTTGAGCAGATTTGGGAAGGGCCATAGATGAAGTGTGAATGAGAAATAGGCGGCTTTGCCCAAGACCGGTGGAGCTAGACCAGGGAGTGACAAGGAGAGGAAGGGCCAGTTTCTTAAGAACTGGGAGAGGAGTTTGGGTGGGGCCCTCACAACCATCTTTTATGGGCCTGTGCTAAGCACTTACAGACATGATTCATTTCATCCTCACAACCAACCCATGGGGCAGGTACCATGATTATCCTCTTAGAGATGATGAAGAGGAGGACCAGGGAATGCAGAGAACTGCCTGAAGCCACCCAGCTTGTACATGGTGATGGGGGGACTCCAAGGTCATCCCTACTAGTGAGGCAGTACGCTCCCCTGCCACCCTCAGGAAGGGGGAGGCGGCTACTTCCAAATGAGTCCTCTTTAAAAGTTAAGTTTTGGGGCTGAGCATGGTGGCACGTTCCTGTAGTCCCAGCTACTCAGGAGACCTAGGCAGGAGGATCGCTTGAGGAGTTTGAGGTTGCTGTGAGCTATGATGACACCACAGCACTCTGGCCTGGGTGACAAAGTGAGACTCTGCCTCAAATTAAAAAAAAAAAAATTCTGCATTTGGCCCTTTTGGGGTGTGTGCACATGCATGTGTGTGTCTCAAGATTAAACGATGACCAAGAAAGCACTCTAATGACACCAGCATGTCCAGCACCACCGAGAACAACCCAGAGCCCGACTGTGCCCAGCACTTTCAAAGCTCTTTGCATGTGTTGATTGAGTTAATCTCACATTCACAGCACTCTACAGATAAGGGGACTGTTGCACAGATGGGTTAAGATCATGGTCAGTAAGCAGCAGAGCTAGGATCTGAAGTTACACTCCAGAATGGGCATCATGGGTGAGGTGAGCCTGCAGATGTCAGTTTGGGACTCAGGACTCAACAGAGGGAGCAGAGACATCACCCAGACCCAAGTCCTCATCTTCCCACTACATCACTTGAGTCCAGTCTCCATTCTTTCCCCAAAGCCTTTTCCCTGGCCTCTAATTCCTGACACCTGCCAGTCTATTCCCTGGGGGAACCCTGTCAGCACCTGCCCACAGCTCACAGCCCTCTTGGTTCCAACTCATTCAGAGTAAAGGTCAAAGTCCTCTCTTGACTTCAAAGGTCAAAGTCCTCTTTTTGACTTCAACTCCTCCCATTCTCCCTCTGCTCTGGCCACATTGGTCCTCAAATACAGTAAGCTGCCCCAGGGCCTTTGCACAGGCTATCCTCACTACTTGGAATATTCCAGCCCCAGCTATCCTCGCGGCTCACTCTCCTAATCCCTTCAGGTCTCAGCTCACAGGTCACATCTCAAATGGCCCCTTCTTGGCTACCCTATTTAAAATACTTCCTCCGTTTTCTCCATTCCCTCACCCTATTGTATTTTTTTTTTGTGTGTGTGGTTTCCCCATCATCTGATATGTTTATTGTCCAGCCTACCCCACAAAGCATCTAAGATCTGCAAAGACAAAGGCTTGGATGATCTTGCATCATGCTATATCCCCAGTGCCCTGGCTAGGTGAGGCCCAGAGTATGTAGTCAGTAAATATGTATTAAATGAATGAGGTAGTGGAGAAGAGAAAAAAGTCCTGAGGTCTTGGATGTGATGTGGGTGTGTCAGATTTGTGGATGCTATTATGAACAAGAACAAAGGAGCAGTGACAAGGTAGGGAAAAAATCTGGGAGTCAGGCAGACTTGGGTGAAAAAAAAATTTTTTTTTTTTTGAGACAGAGCCTCAAGCTATTGCCTTGGGTAGAGTGCTGTGGCATCACAGCTCACAGTAACCTCCAACTTCTGGGCTCAAGCAATTCTCCTGCCTCTGCCTCCCAAGTAGCTGGGACTACAGGTACCCTCCATAACGCCTGGCTAATTTTTTTTTTTTTTTGGGTGCAGCCATCATTGTTGTTTGGCAGGCCTGGGCTGGATTTGAACCCGCTAGCTCAGGTGTGTGTGGCTGGCACCTTAGCCACTTGAGCCACAGGCACCGAGCCCTGGGTCAAATTTTGACAGCTCCATTTTACCGTGATCTTTCCCCCATATAGTCTTGTATTTGATGTTTAACCACTCTGGGCCTCATTTATCTCATCTGTAAAACGGGATTAATATTAAACTCTTGACATCATAGTGCAGATTAAATGAGCTCAAGTATGTGAAAGAACCCTATACTTGGTTCACAATGGGCATTTAATAAGTTTGCCTTAAGACTGACTGGAGGTCAGCAACGTCTGAGGGCAGTTTTTCCCAGAAGGTGGAAGGTGAGACTGCTGGTGGCATGGGAGAATTTAGCTGGCTTGTGGACACAGTGAGAAACTTACTCTCTTCTTCGTGTTCTTTGAAGCTTTCTGATTATGTTAAAGAAAAAGACTCAATTTCTGTGCTAGTGTGCTTGAACACCTCTCTCATATTGCTAATATTCCTTTTAAAGAAAGAGGAGGCGGGAGCTATGGCCTGTAGAATGGGGTGCTGGTGTTTTACTTCTTACTGTGTTTCTCTAACACTTTCTATTTATGTGCAGTGATCCTGGCTTTCTCTTTATGGTTGTGGTATAAAATATTCACTTAAAGTATTCTCTTCTTTTGTCTTTTGAGACAGAGTCTCACTCTGTCACCTGGGTACAGTGCTGTGGTGTCATCAAAGTTCATAGCAACCCAACCTCTTGGACACAAGTGAACCTACTGCCTCAGCCTCCCAAACAGCTGGGACTACAGGTGCCCACCACAACACCTGGCTAATTTTTCTGTTTTTAGTAGACACGGGATTTTGCTCTTGCTCAGTGTG